GAAAATTACAATTTTTTCAAAATATTTCGGAATAGTCAAATAGCCAAAGCTCATTCTTTTTTTATTAGCTTTTTACCATCAACAATAACTTTTTCCCTTATTACATTTTTGATCTTAATGCTTTGAAATATCTTCCTAAATAGATTTTTACATTTCGCCGGTGGCTACTGCGCAGTTCAAATTTACGGTCAGTTTGCTGAAAGAAATAGCTCAAGACGGTAAATCTGCCATTCTATCTCCTTTTTCAATATCAACAACACTTTTTATGGTTTATCTCGCAGCAAATGATGAAACGAAACGACAATTGCACAATATTCTTGGAGGAAGTAATTATAGATTGAAATTGAAAACTGACTGAAAACTTGCTTTACACGAACTGTCATCCATATTTTCCGTGTCATGTAACCAGTAATGCCATTACTAGTGGATTCCGTAAAGTTATTTTTCTTAACAATAACATGAATCCACTTTTTCAGCTGCAAATGAAGGAGAAATTCGACAACATTTTGCCAGAATGTTGGCAGTTATCGATAGCAGAACGAATGAAAACTACACGTTAAATATAGCAAATCGTTTTTACGTACAACAGGGATTCTTTACAAGAGAAAGCTTCGCCAGAGCACTTAGATTTTATTACGGTGAAACGTTGCATAAATTCGATTATGAACGAAATAATCAACTTGCTCAGGTATTATCAGTTTTGAAAAGCAAAATTGAGACGAAAAGAGAAAGGTGGTGGAGTCAGGAAAGTGATTCTCGTCGTTGGATTTATTAGTTCCAGTCGATAAGTAACTATCTATCTATTCTATTATTGCAGATAACAACAATGCAATTCTGCTTCAGGAAATTAATAACTGGGTGTCCGACAAGACTAGGAGTAAAATAACGGAGCTAATAACAGCAGACGATGTCAATAAGGACATCGTAATATTACTACTGAATGCAATTTACTTCGGTGGAATTTGGAAGACACAATTTGATGATACAGTGACTCGTAATGAAGCATTTCACATTTCGGAATGCGAAACGAAAAATGTGAATATTCCCTCGAATGTCATAATTTGAAGCTTTCAACTGTTCATTTTAAAATATGTTGCTTGCTCGCAAAACATGAATATGTCTTTTTCTTCCTCTATCGTTATCATTTCTGTTCTCTCAGGTATTGATGATGAGATTAAGAGCAAAATTCCCGTATTATGAAGATGATTCTGTGCAAGTTGTCAAATTGCCTTATGTTGGTGATGAAGTAGAAATGGTTC